ATTGCTCCAATACTCTTCTTGATATTTCTTACCGTGATGCTACATTAAACCAGCAACAAGCTTCAAGTCAGAATGGAGCTAACCTACTGAATAAATGGTAAGCTGTTTAATGTCAGCTGACTGTGAGCCAAAACCAAGACCACCCCAGTCTTAATCATTGAGTTTCAGTATGCTGATGACACTGTAGTCTGTGCTTACTCGGAAGCAGACCTTCAGGCAATTGTTGATATCTTTTTGAAGGCATATGAGAAAATGGGACTGACGCTTAACATTCAGAAGACTAAGGTTCTCTATCAACAAGCTCTTAATTAGCAATCACCAGCTCTAGTAATTCAGATTCATGGTGAGACTCTGAAGGAAGTTGAATATTTCCTGTACCTTAGAAGCCATCTCTCACAGACGGCTGACATCAACAAAGTGATCTAATGTTGCCTCAAATGTGCAAATTCAGTCTTCAGACACCTGAGGAAATGGGTATTTGAAGATGGTGACATTCAATCCAAAACTAAGCTCATAGTTTATAAAGCAGTTGTGATCCCTACCTTACTGTACAAAGCTGAGAAGTGGACAGTGTACAAGAGACACCTCAACTCATTGGAGAAGTACCATCAATGCTGACTGTGGAAGATGCTTCAAATCCAGTGGGAAGATAGATACACCAAAGTTAGTGGCTTTTTGTAAGCAACCACCACAAGCACTGAGGCGATGATCATCTGACACCAACTTTGCTGGGTCAGCCACGTCATTCAGTTGTCTGACTCTAAACTCCTGAAGCAAGTTTTATTCTCCCAGCTCAGTCAAGGTGTATCTTCAAGAGGAGGGTAAAGAAAGCTTTTCAAGGACTCCCTCAAGGCCAACTTGAAAAAAATGCAACACTGAGTCAACTCGTGGAAAATTATCACTCAGGACCACCACAAATGGAGGAAGAGTCTGCTGCAAGGATCTCAGTACTTTGAAACCTTAGGATGACAACAGGAGATGGACAAATGGGAATGGCAGAAACAGTGTGTTATGGACTGTATCAAGAATCCAGAACCACCCACCCTATATGAAAACATATGCCCTATTTGCAACAGAGTCTGTCAATCCCAGATCAGCCACATCACCCATCTTCAGATCCACAGATAAGACAATCATGGAAGAAAATCATCCTCGACTGTGAGGGATTGCTGAAGAAGCAGACATTTCTTTAGTTTTCAAGACCTTTAATAAAAGGTCCTGTTTCTCGATGATTGTGGTTCTGTTGCTCATTATCATCTACCTCTCACCTCCTCTCTGTTGGCTTCCCTCTGATTCACAGGTGATAATTGTCCACTGCCCTTTTAAGCAATGAAGTGTATTAACATAATTAGGTTAAGATAAAGCAATTAGTCTGACTTGTATTTAACTGGACTCTTTCTCAGACATGATTAAGAGTGCTTGAGGCCTGAAAGCTTGTCTCCTATTTTTATCAACTGTACAAGTTGATTCAATAAAAGATACTGTCTCATCTGACAAATCTTGCTTCTATCATACTTCTCCACTATCACTACTACATCAATGATTTTCCTGTCTTACACAGTTATAGCCACTACAGGAGCTTTCATTCTTGGGAGTGTCTTGAGTGCCCTCTAGTGGGTAACCTAAAAGTTTGACTCCTGGAAGAAATGTTTGAATTTAAAAAGCAGAGATCAGAGATCATCTCTAAGAACTTGGCACATTTGAAAATCAGACCATATATTTAGCCTCCTAAGGTCCGCCCTAATTTAAGAGATGAAGATAATGAGTGAAAAGAGCCAAAAAAAGAGGAAAAACCTGTGAATTTCAAAAAACGGCAATCTGAAGAAAATGGGTTATTTGCCTAAATGTGTTTACATGCAGAAGGTATAGGAGACTGTTTCCAACTCATGAGGATCACCTCATTCCACAGAATTTTTGAAAAAATGCAATATATGTCATTCCTTTGTGGTTTCAGAGTTCTGACATAGTTACAATAGTGTTTCTACTTGGAGGGAAGTTTTCTAATGAGGGAAGAGACTAAACAGACCTTTCTTGGTCCCTAAACACATATGTTACATGCACGTTAGACTGTGTAGATTCAACTGCAATTATTTTTAAAACAATCTTACTAACTTACCAAGATGTAGCTTCTACCCTCTACTCCTTAAACCTCACTTCCCAATACGGTTCAAGTTGACTCAGGATGGAGGAATGAAGCAACCACACCCTCCTAGTACTTAGTGAAATATTCCCCCATTTTCCTTTAACTTATACCTTTTAGTGCCTTTTATTACTTCTATACAATAGTTACTATATAACAGTAACTATATAATAGTTACATTAGTTTAGATTTCTTGCCTTTATCAGTGCAATGTGGAGCTCATGGACTACAGCAGTGTTGTCTAATCTTTTCACACCATGGGCCGGATAGGCAGTGCCAGGTCTCTCCGCAAATCAGATCTGGCTGCGGGGAATTGTGCAGCCTGACCTTGATTCATCTGCCTGGGGTGGGGGCAGAACAGAGTGGCCCTGATCCGAATGCGTGAGGGGTGGGGGAAAGCAGTCCAGTCCTGGTCCTAGTACCAGTCTGGATGCACAAGGCAGGACGGGGGGTTGGAAAAGAACAGGCCCAATCTGGATGCGTGTCGGGTGGGGTGGAGCAGCTCTAATCTGGACATGTAGGAGGAACAGGGGGTTGAGCAGCCAGGCCCTGACCCAACATGGGGGAGGTGGGGTAGAATGACCCCAATCCGGGCATGCAGCTTGCGGGGGGAACAGCCTGGTCCAATCTGGATGTGCAAGGGGCAGCCTGCCCCAACTCTGCTGTTCAGACAACGGCCTAGGTGAGGCTGGATCAGCTGAGTGGAGCTTCCGTTGCTCCCCACTTCCAAGTTTGGGAAATTTGTATGTCATGGCTCTGCAGGCTGGATTTGGCTGGTGGGCCTGAGGTTGAGCACTCCTGGACTAGAGACTCTTGCCCTAATTTCTGTTGGTCTGACTTCGGCCTAGGGCTCAACAGTAAACTAGTTTATGAGTTCATGACAAGAAATGAGAACATGTCCCTTTCCTCTGTCATGGGTCAGTTACTCTTCAGGACACATTATGAGGAGAGAGTAGGCATCACCAAATACCTATTCCTAATCAGGTGGACAGGGAATGGCTGGCAGGGTGGGAGCGTTGCTCTCACAGTCCAATGGCCAGTACAGCTGAATTACCAAGGTAAAAGGCTGGCAAGAAATAAGGTGAGACCAAACTGTGATGCTCTCTGACTCACAGCTTGAGCCTTTTTCTGCTGCTGAGGCAGTGGAACTGATGCACTTAATCAAGGATGATCGGTGCCTTACAATGTAGCTTTGAGGAGTTCCATACCCTACAGTGCTACAGCATCCATCTGCATTACTTGTACAATTCTTTTCTACAGCTGTGTCTTTCCTTACAACATGTCATGTCCCAATGATTTTTTAAAAGATAAAATGTTGAAATTAGGTGTTAAACGTGCCTGTGGCATGTGTGTATTTGAATCCGCAGGTCCTTCACTCTTTTACTGATGCTGTCTTTGATGAATGGATGAAGCGATTTAACCCATCTGACAGTGTTTGGCCTGAGGAGCTGGCACCTATTGGCCACAACAGGCTATACAACATGGTCCCTTTCTTCCCTCCAGTGACCAATGATCAACTTTTTCTAACTGCAGAGCAACTTGGTTACACCTATGCTATTGAGCTGCCGGGTAAGTTGCTGAAGTGTGAAAGGAGTTCCATGGTAAGATGCATGGCAGTTCAAACTTTTATACACAGGCATTCAGATATGAAAGCCCTAAGGAGACCAGTTATTTCCCTATGGCCTGGGGGAAAGTACGTATCTGCTATCTTGATTCTCAGCCATAAGTCTGCTCTGGAAGTTAGCATTTCAGCCAATCCAGTTGTCTCTTACAAACCAAAAAAGAGTAGGTAATGGAATATCACTCTTCTCATTTCTCTCTCTCTCTCTCTCTCTCTCTCCCCACCCCTCCCCTGCCCCCGCCCAAGGCCTCGCACCCAAGGGTTAGAAAACTTGTCTAGGATTTGGACAAACAATGCCTATATTCTGGTTCCACTGCCCTGTTTTGAGCTGGGACCTGAACAGAAATCTCCAGTGCAAGGGCTCTAACATTATAACACAATGCATTTGTCTCTTACACATAACCTACACACCAGAGCCTGATTCTTTGTGGGCTGTGGTTGTTGCATTGATACAAATAATAGTTATGCAGTTGTTAGAGTTATTCATCTTCCTTGTGATTTCTAGGAACAAAAATATTCCCAGTCTATAACTAAGATGTTGTTTCTTTACAGAGGCATTTGAAGAAACTCATGCTTGGGCAGAAATGGTTGGTTCCACACTTGGAGGAGCACTGATCGCTTTAGTTTTACTAATTCTGCTGCTTGCACTCTTTCAGCACAGAAGACAGAGAAAAGGCTTTGAACCATTAATGAATGTGAGCTTCAATAGAAAAAAATATACAGAAGAGGGCTAGTGCTGTAGTGCCGTTTCTACAAGTACATGAAATAAAAATGGACTTGATTAATTGATCAGCCCTTAGCTAGATGTTTAACTAATAGGCTCACACACACTCCTTTGATGGGTACATTTTCCTAATCTCAACTTCTTTTGTCACTAGCAGTCCTCGGGTTTATGTCCTCAAACATTTTGAAGCAAGACATGAGGGGGGAGGATGTAGCCTAAGACAGACTCTGGTCACAGGAAAATGTTAGTCTATCTGTAGTTTGTGTTTCCTAAGACCTATTCTCCATAGGTTTAAATCATGATGCCTAATAATCCAAAAAAGGAGAAAAAGTACTTGAGAGAAGGGTGTGTGAATCATTTTCCTTCAGTCCGTGCATAAATAAATACTACTATAATAGGCAGAATTTCTTTAATTATATATCCTTGAATAACAGATCATTCTACTGTTCTTATGAAAGTGTTCTGAGTGATGTTATTGAACAAATTAATTCAAAGATGCCTGTCTTGGAGGGGAGCAGAGGTCCAGCTAGATGGCATATCATAAGGGACCTGTGGAGCCTCAGAATCTGTTTAAGCCTCAGTGGGCATGTCTACATTTGCACCTGCTCTGTTGTTACTGTGCCATAACTGCACAATCCCAGCAGCACACGGGTTGTCTTCAACCCTACTGCGCAGTATCAACAATAGGTTGCTACTGCTCAGTAGCGTTGGCATCACAGTTCTTGCCAGCTGATGCTATGTCACGACAGTGACAAGTTGCGGCATTGTAGCTCACCACTATGTCAACGTAGCATCTCATGTAGACATGCCCATCAGTCCTTTTGATTTTTACTCATAAAATAAACACCAAAAATGCCTCTAAACTAAAATTTCTCAGTGTCCAATTAGGTAAAGAGCAGGAATTCATTTGTAACTAAACAGAGACACTTCTCTTTGACAGCAGCGATCTGAGTCAGGCACTGACTTCTGCACTGGCCCTTTTTCACTTCGTTTTACTTTAGCTTCTTGGTCTATATTGAAAGAAGGGAGGTTGCTGGGATTCTAACACAGGAAGTAGTCAGGGATCATAGGAATGCAAAGAGCTCTCAGTAGCTCAGAGTATTAGGAGTTCAGAGATGCGGGGATGAGAGTATGTGGACTGATGATGAGATATTAGGTAGGAAGGTGAAGACGACCCCTATGTAGGAAGGTGAAGAGGACCCCTACATCCTTACAAAGGGCCATAATCCCATACTGAACCTTTGGCTCAACTCTGACAGAAAGATCATTTGATGTCTCTACCTGCAATTGCTGTTCTTCTCGAATCCATACATTTACACTCATCAGTGACCAAATACATGTATATATTAAAATATATTGATTTACAGGATAGAATAGCAAACCATTTTGCAGGTCTAATAGTTAAATGTTCAGACAAGATTTTTTTTCTGTAAATACTGTCAGGTGGAGAATAAATCTAATAATTCAAATTTTCCACTAAATATTGTAGTATCACTTAACTGATGTTGCTTATGTTCATTTTCATTAGTGACTTAGAGAAACATATTAATTCTTATAAGTGTGGAAAAAGCTTTTTGCTGTTAAGACAGTAGACTTAGTGTGTTGCCCAAGGTTTGGAATGCAGATATTGAACATCTCACCTGGACAAGATTCAGACTCTATTGTTCCTGGGCTGGGGATGGGAGAAAAGGATTATGTTAATTTGTTATTGCGTGATTTTATTTCTGACTTTACTAGAAGAATGGCTTAGCAATGAATTTTTCCATATGGTCTTGAGAACGTTTTTCCTCCCATAACTTAAGTGCTTGAGTGCTGCATGGTTTTTGTCGCTTCTGTGCATCTGTTTATCCTTATATTAATGGGATTCGTTATTGCTGTGTTTTATATATGGTAACTTCTATAGAATTTACTTTGTTATTTCATAGAAAAATGATGGTTTGGTTTTGTAGATATGAGTAAAAGGTCAATATAGTTCAAGATATCTATCCCATTTTTTCATAGTTAGAAAGATAAACTCCTTTGTGGAGATGTGCAGGTCTTTTTTATATACTTAGCTCATTTCCAGTATGTCATCCAATTATCATTTCTGCTAAAAAGTACTTGTTTCTAAACTACTAACTTTTGGGATCTGAGAATATTTTATAAGATACAGTAAATATACTTGTGGTATGTAACAAAGATTTTACCTATGATTATATAAGTAAAATATCTTAAACCAATTTATTCAGTACTATGTGGGATTACTATAATTTTTTTTTTGTTCTCCAATGGCTCTTCCTACCATTACATTTCCCATAAGCAGTATATAAAGCATTCCAGCTTCTCCTGTGAGCTCTAACAGTGTGAAGACCCTGTAGTAAAATGGAAAGTTGTTTAGAGATGACTTAATACCTTTATCACTTATCATCAGGTTCAACCCACTCTCCAAAACAATGGAAAGGGAGACCAATGCTGATTTGAGAGTGAAGTCAAAATTATTATTACTTACTTTCATAGTTTGGAATTTAAATTCCATCTCTCCAAGAACCACTTTCTGATTTTATTTTAAAATCCTATGTGTGCAGAGTGGTCTTTATAATAAAGGTTGATTCTCTGTTGACTCTCTGGCACCAAGCATTGCAAAACCTAATTTACAGGCCCCTGTGTGCCCAGTGTAGTTGGTAACAACCAGTGTAGGTACTTGACCTCATCATCAGGGATCCTGATTTTCTCTGAAAAAAAAAATCCCCAATTTTCAGATTAAAAAGGTTGTGCTTCCTTAAGGGGGCAATTCTCACTGCTCAAAAAGAGGCCATCCCCACACAGTCAAAAAGCAGGAAAGGGGCCAGGAGACCAGCTTGGCTCAATAGGGATATTAGGAACTTCTGAAAAAAAAGAAGAAGCATATAAGCAGTGGAAAAACAGTTCAGCATCCAGAGAGGAGAACAAACATGTGGATAGGGTCTGCAGGTATGAGACATGGAAAGCCAAGGCAGGCATGGAGATCAAGCTGGCAACTGAAATAAAAAACAACAAAAAGTCCTTCTATAGGTACATAGAGAGCAAGAAAAAATCAAGCTCCACTGTGGGACCCCTACTGAATACAGGGAAGCAGCCTACAATTGATCCCCATGAAAAAGCAGAGCTCCGAAATACTTACTTCACATTGGTTATTCCTGAAATCAGATGGAGCTGTTCACGTGTCCAGAGGCCCAGGGAAGATGGGGAAGACAACAGTCCGCATGAAATCAGTCCCAAACAGGTGAGGATACTCTTAGAACATTTGGATGTGTTCAAGCCGGCTGGGCCAGATGACCTGCATCTGAGAGTCCTGAAAGAACTGGATGAGCTCATAGCAGGGCCCCTGCTGAAGCTGTTTGAAGAGTTGTGGGACTCAGGAGTGGTCCCAAACGACTGGAAAAGTGCTAACGTGGTACCCATCTTTAAGAAAGGGAAGAAGGATGACCCTGAAAACTACAGACAGGTCAGTCTGACCTTGGTCCTGGGCAAAATATTTGAAAAAATTGTCAAAGAGGCACAAGCTTGCAACTGGTGGTGTAGTAAGAAGCAACCAGAACAGCTTAGTAGGGGGTAGGTCATGCCTGGTGTCCTTTTACAAGCAGGTAACTAACCAGATGGACAAGGGACATGAAGTTGACATCATTTACCTAGACTTCAGCAAGGTCTTTGATACTGTTTCCCATGAGATTCTTTCATATAAGCTGGAGGGTACTGGCTTAGACTGGTCTCCAGTGAGGTGGGTTGGCAACTGGCTCAGAGGCTGATCCTAGAGGGTTGTAATTGACGGGATGGCCTCATCCTGGAGGGCTGTCTTCAGTAGTATCCCCCAGGGATTGGTGCTTGGGTCCATGCTCTTTAACAGCTTTATCAATGATTGGGATGAGAGGGTGAAAAGCGCAATGATTAAGTTTGCAGATGACATCAAGCTGTGGGGAAATGTGGGCACATCTAATGATAGGGTAAGGGTCCAGTATGACTTTGGCAGACTGGTCCTATGGGCTGAATGCAATCAGATGAGGTTCAATAGGGACAAGTGCCAGGTCCTTAATCTGGGTAGGAAGAACCTTCACCACAACTATACGATGGCTGGCACTGCATCTGAAAGGGACCTGGGGGTGACAATAGACCAGAAGATGAATATGAGTCAACAGTGCAGTGTAGTTGCCAGCAGGGCAAATAGAACTCTGGCTAATATCAGCTGATGTGTTGTGAACAGATCCAGAGAGGTGCTCCTCCTCCTCTATTCAGAGTTGGTGAGGCCACAGCTGGAGTACTGTATTCAGTTCTGGACATCACACTTCAGGAAGGATGTGGATAAGCTCAAAAGGGTACAGCGAAGGGCCACCCATATCATGGGTGTCTGGTGCCTCTTGAGTCAGGGGGGGCACGTGCCCCCTCTCCCGACACCAGTCAGCGACTGAGGGCAGGGTCTTCTGCAGCTGATCTTACTCACTGTAAAAGCGGTCGTGTTGCTTCCGGAACTCCCACAGCCACTTCCGGAAGTGGTACAGCACTCAGTGGGGGCACGGGTGCTCCTGCCTGCCCCCCTGCCCACTAGCTAAACAGGGAGTGCGGCCTGACCGGGGGTGTACTGGTGCTCTCAGGGGGTGCACCCCCATGCATCCCCTATGTGTCATCCCTGACCCATAAGATTGGGGGCCTGGAAGATAGGCCCTATGAGGAGAGACTGGGTTTGTTGGGTCTGAGCAAGAGAAGACCTGATAGCTGCCTACAAGTATGTCAAGGGAGAATACCAAGATTTACGGCAGCAACTCTTCAGAAAGTTACCCCTTGGGAGGACAAGGAACAATGCACACAAGCTAATTGAGGAAAAATTTAGGCTGGACATAAGGAAAAACTTCTTTTCTGTAAGGGTATCTAGAATCTGGAACACACTCCCAGCAGAGGGGGTGCAGTCACCATCCCTGGAGGTGTTCAAGAGGAGGCTGGACAAGCACCTCATTCAGCTTGTTTGAGCCCAATAACCTCCTGCCCATGGCAGGGGACCTTCTGGTCCTTTGATTCTTGATTCCATAAAAAAGTAACCCAAAATCGACATTTTTCCGTGATCAAAATGAAACACCACTATATATAGTGGTGTTTCATTTTGATCACAGAAAAGTGTCGATTTTGGATTACTTTTTAAAATCCAAAAACTGGAGTTTTTTTTTAAATCAGAGAAAACTAGGATCCCTGCTCATGATATAAAGCTTGGGGGAGTCTCAGATGCCTGAGAATGAGTTCTACAAAAACCAATAAGATAAGCCAACCAATAGGGAATGCTGAGGGCAGGATTATGTTTTCAGCCTCTCTCTCCTCTGTGGCATATATGAAGGCAGAGTCCTTTCTCCACTTTGTGTATATAGTTCAGGACCTTTTCCTAAAACCCTTCTTTTGAAAACAGAGCAGGGACAGTCCTTCCTTTAAAACACAAGAAGAGGAACAACATCCATGTTTTGGACCTGGTTACCTGTGTCATTTCTTAGATCTTGTCAAAGGTGTCAGTAGCATGCCTTAGGTACCACTACTTGATCTGGCCATAGACTCTGCATAGGGCCCTTCCCCTAGATTTTTTCTATTACACAAAGTAGCACGTTTACTCCTGCTGTGACTCCTGAGTTCACAATATTCTTCTCTGATAAAGTTTTCTTCCTGCTGAGTTTTGGTTTCCAACTTGTGTCACTCAGTTCTTGAGCTGCTTACTTTACCAGCAGGGAGATGGCAGTCACTGCATCATTACAGCTGTCTTCCCCATGGTTAACTGCCAAATTCTAATCTGGGAGATTATTCTGAAGCTGAGTGTGCTATTTTTCTGCTATACCTGCATGATAGACTCCAAAGGCTTTGGAGGTAAGATGGGACGCTACTTCAAAATTAAAAGCAATCTTTCTTGTTAGACATTGCAGGAATCGACCATGAGGCTGTCCTATAGGTAATGCTTTGCTTCCATGTTCATAAATGCACAGGGAAATAGGGCTGGAAAAGACCTTAAGTTATCTAGTCTAGCCCCCTGCTCAAGGTAGGATCACCCCTAACTAAGTCCTCCAAGCCTGTTCAACCTCCTCTTGAAATTTCCAAGGATGGAGATTCCACAATTTAACTAAGTGGCCTCTTCCAATGCCTGATCAATCTCATAGTCAGAATGTTTCTCCTAATCTCCAACCCAAATTTCTCCTGCGGAAGCTTGAAGCCATTGCTTCTAGTCCTGTCCCCTATAGCCACAGAGAAAAGCCCATATCCAGCCTCTGTATAATCACCCTTCAGGTATTTGAAGATTGTTATCAAATTCCCCCATCAGTCTTCTTTACTCCAGCCTAAAATCACTCTAGTTTTTTCAATGTTACCTCATAAGCCTTGCTTCACAGGTCCCTAATCATTGGTGCTGCGTAGGGGGTGCACATGCACCTCCTGAGATTGGCAGTGTACTGCTTGAGAGAACTGCCACTGATGCTGCCAGCAGCACCTGCAGGTCATTGCTGCTCACCACCCCAACCCCTCTCACCCCCGACACCACCATGGCGACCTGCAGGAGTTTCCCGTTTGCCACTGCTACACCCCTACCACCGCCATCACCCCTGCCACCTGTGGGTGGTCACCATGGCCCCCCATCCTCCGGGGACGTGCATCATTCATGCTCCTAATCATTTTTGTTGTTCTCTTCTGGACTCCCTCCAATCTGTCCACATCCTTCTTGAAGTGTGGGTCCCAAAACTGGACATTGTACTCCAAGTGAGACCTTGCTAGTGCTGAATAGAGCACAAGCATCACTTCTCTTGACTTAAGAGGCATGCATATTTGTTAATACAACCCAGTCTGCTGTTGGCCTTTTTTGCAACGAGAGCACACCGTTGGTTCATATTCAGCTTATGGCCCTCTGTAACTCTCAGGTAAGATAGATATAGATTCAAATGTCTCAAGATGAAAAGATTAGCTTATAAAAAGTAATGCATTCTATGTTATGTACAACCTGATGCAGGACTGATGTCAGTGGTTGGATGCTGTCAGAAAAAGGGCAAAAACATAATACAACTAAAGCTTTTAAGAAGGAACTTTCCCTAAGGGTAAATCCAATTCTGTACTTGTTCAGTTCCTGTGTGCCTGAAAATAAACCTCTCAATGGTGTCTAGATCAGACACAAACAAACAAAAAAATCTTATCTTGAGGAATGTTATTTGTGCATAAAGCCAACATGTAAACATTGTACAA